CTTCGCACTTCACCTTTAGGAACCTGTGCGGGTCCTTTGTCTGTTTGGGGGTGGACTCAAACATCAGGATGATAAACCGAATCATAGTGTACTCAAAAAAAAAGGTATGAACTTGAGCACCTGAGTCGTTTGAGTCTTGACCACATTGGTCATAATCTAGATTTGGTACAGGCATGGATGGTGCGGGATTGGTGGGTGCAGGCTGAGCTGAAAACACACTCACAATCGGCCGCAGGGTTGAACAGACTTCGGATCTCTATCCATAGGGTTCCAACGATGATTTTTGATTTCCCTTCCGACCCAACCAGTCCTGCCACATATGTGTTTGATTCATGAAATATTATTGGATCATGTTGGATTATTCATCATTATGTGTGATACACCCAAATGAAGTTTTATCTCGTTTCATTAACTACATGATATGATGCTCCCACGCAGGTAACCATTCCTTTGCAGATCATCTTCTCTGCTCTTTGGGACGAGGAGCAACTTTGGCTGCAAAACAGATTGGGCGGAACCAAGTCAATCTTAAAATGAAAAAAGTTAGTCTCAAAACTATCTGATTATCTGATAAACAACCAGCCCACATCAACCAGTCACCCCGATGGCCAAGCCCTCTGCCAACCAAAACAATTGCCAGGCAACCAGCTGCTTGGACCTTCAAAAAAGTGCTGAAGCCTGCATCAAGGAGACGGAGGACTGGTCGCCACTGGCTGGGTTTATTGGGACCCAAGTAGTGTCATATCATGTCATACCATGTTGTGTCATATCAAAGTTTTTCGTTTGGTACATTTAGTTTGCATATTATAATTTCAAAATGAAATCCTAAATCGTACAGTTTCGAAATCATATTTATACATCTGATCATTAAATCAATCTTGTTTCATCACACAATTATTTATATATATATATATCATGTATACATATCATCCTTTGCACACATAATATATACATATACAAAATGCAATGCCCTGTGGAGGCGTATGGTGGGACCGTTTCAACTCTCACAAGAAAACTGGCATCTTTGGGATCTCATGGCAAATTTCCAAACAATTTGGAGCGCGATTTGTTTAGAGCATTGGAGTTACCCATTGCCCCTTTCTACGTTGACCTTCCTGTGCGGTGTCAGAGTAACCGAGAAGACATAGTCCTCAAACGAATGCCACTGCTCCTTCCTCATCAACTGTACCATTATTTGTTTGATACTTGCTTTATTGAGCAAATTTTCGTGTCATTCGGATCCCATTCAGTATTTTTTTGGGAAAGCATTTCTTTAGCTATATATATACCCATAGGATCCATGTATGGTATATATGCTAACATTTGGGGTATATTGATGGTAAATGTTACCATATATAGCATACATGGATCCTATGGGATATATATAATTACTTATGTTGATACATCCCTTCAAAAGTGCCACCAAGGACAGTGGAAAATTGAAGATGAAGCGTGAAACTGTAGCTGAATTCTGGCAGAAAACTACTGCTACTGGATGGTTGAATCCTTCTCATCCTGGTAAGTGGGGAGCCAATGTTGTTGGCCTTTATGGTGATGATGCAAGGTATACCAAATCGGGTGAAAAGTTGATCGCAATCGCATGGAACTGTCTTCTTCAAGAAGCACACAGTGCCTAATAACTTTGCATTAAGCTGTCAAGTTGTAGTTTTTGAAACGAAAAAGGGTTTACCGTTGGTTGGTCGTTGTTTGGTGTATTTTGCAAGTTTCCCCCAAAATTTTACCAAAGTACAAAACACACATGTGTCCCTAGACATCCTCTGTTCAGGATTGGATCTTGCAAGGTTCCCGATCTGCGTCCTACGATGCGCATTGAATGTTCCAGAATACACTTTGACAAGGGTGTACCAGGTCATTGCATGGAGCCTCAAAGATTCTTGGGACCAAATCATTTTTTGTTATTTTGTTAACAACTGTAACATATTCCCAGACACTCATCTTGGGACCAATATGACTGTTTATATGACTTGTTTCTTCAACATATATTATATAAATATGTATGTATGTATGTATATATGGCGATGATTTTTTTCGTAGATGTTGATCTAAGGCTTTGGCTGAAGGAGTGCACCCGACAACCGATTTCGAAGGAAATCCATTACCAGCTCTGCATTCAAAGTTGGCAGGCAAACCTATTGCAGGTGCCATTCCCTGATTGGAGCAAGGTTTGTGATTTTAGTTCATCCATATCCCAAAGTGCTCATGGTACTTTTATGTTTTGATTTTGCTCCTAAAGATATTTTTTTGGGGATAAATTTCATGTTGGGAGCCATCCAGATTGCCCAGATCATGCCCGCTGCCGCCTCATTCGAAATAGAATTCCCTGTCCTCAGGTGGACCAGCTTACTGCGTGGAGTACCGAGGAGATTGGAAGTGGCAGAGGGAATGTTTCTCTTTGCGTACCCATTGGGGTGGAACGGATTTCTGTCATGTGTGCACTGCAAAGGGAAACCGCGGAAACCCTATGAACAGGTAACTGAATTGAGCAGCATCATTTTTTATTTTCAGTTCGATAATTTATTCCACAAAGAAACTGAACAAACAAATTAAAACCATCAGTCATTCCAAACTTTTTCCTTGAATGTATAGATTATAAAATATCATAAAATACCATAAGCAAATCAACGTTGACTGCATCATGAATCATGAATGAATATTTACATGTCTTTCAAAATTATATATACATATTACCTGCATACTGGTAACGACTTTTTTCAGGTGGACCCGCTTTGGGCGAACATTTCCGAGAAGATCTGCCGACAATGCGCTCGCATCTTGCTACAGGCCCCTGGATCTGACTTGGGTATTGCTGTCAACATAAAATTTTCGAAGCCTTACTTACCTATCATGTGCATGCGATGTCATCCGGAAAAGAATCACAATCAAAATCAATTAATATTTAGGTTCGAAGCATCATGAATCAGTATGATGGTATGACGAACATATACGTTGGAACTCGTGAACATACTGAAAGTGTTCTGTGCAACATATGCAGGAGCCCTCATCCTTTATTCACAGTGCCTGGATTCGAAACTTCCCAGATTCGCTGGTGTACTATGCATTGTGTAAACCTGGGGGTGCTCCAAAACTTGAATGGGTCTCTGGTGTCACTATTATTTGAACATCGAAACTTGGTGAATCATTATTATAACGATCCTGTTTTTCATTTGATATTTTTTTTGGGGGTAGGGCGGTAGGAGGTAAGTATTTGTAGTTTTGTAGATTTGGTGCTGTGCTGGTGCCTTGCAATCAGCAAGGATTCTTCGGCGAAGGGAACGTGGATGATGGCTTCCGGGTTTTGTCATCTCGCTTTCGGAGATGGGCACGGGTGCACAAATATGAGTGGCTGGTATTTGCGATTTATTGCATTTTTTTGTTGATTACATGATGTTGTGAGATTACATTTACTAGACTTTTTACTTTTGTGGATAATTATGTTGTTCTAATCAACCAACTCGCTGAGACCTAGCTGAGGCACAGCCAAGGGTACATGACATCCGGTATGATGAGCCAAACTGACGGGTACCCTACTCTATGCTGCAAAGCATTCAACGGACGTCTCCTGCTCATGTTTTTGGATTCGTGTGTACATACACTGGCAGAAGGCTCTTCAGACCCCGAGCTCCTCAACAGCTGCGTTGCTTCTAGGAGTCTATGTATGTGGTTTGACAGGATGGAACGGGCGTCAAGGTTTTTGACTCCCAGTCAGGGGGCCGAGCTTCATGCATTGGGCATGAAGGTTGTTCGCACAATTGAACGTTTAGCCATCATCGGTTTGTGCAAAGGCATCAACCGCTGGCGCTTGCAGCCCAAGCTGCATTGTCTAGTGCACATAAGTGAAGATCACCGAATTTTTTTAGTGAATGCACGGACGTATCATTGTTTTATTGATGAAGATTTTGTCGGGTTAGTCAAACGACTAGCGCTGAAATGCCATCGCGGTGACTTATTAGAGCTCCGTATCCTTTTGCGGTGGTTGCTGCGAATTGGCAGCTGGATACCCGGTGGAGCTCAATAAACTTAATTATTGCTATATTTAAACACATCATCATAAACAACACGTGTTGCCATAATGATATGGAATCATTGTCCCTTGCCAGCTTCCCGGCCCCCTTTCCAGCCGAGAGTCGCTACCCACGAGGCGATCAGGAAGGAAATCAGCGGGCCGAGTGGTGGGAACATGGCATGATTGATATATATCATGTATTGATCATGGATTATCAAGATCATTTCATGATATCAACATAATATCATATACATATATCTATGAGAATGGCATTCCTCAAATATCATCGAATATCCATAGATTTGTCGGAAAGCCAGCTACTAGAAATGTTAGCAAATTTTGACTACGGATGGTTCTCAGAGCCTACGGAGAGCCCCAGAGGCTACATACACAAATGTATGCAAATAGATCATACTTTGGATCCTCAGGGTATATATATATATATATCATATATATATATATATATCATATATATATATCATATATATATCATATATATATATATCATATGTAAGAACGGCTGAAGGATTGCCATGCAGTTGGAACTCATTGGCTCTTGAAGCAGAAAGCCTGCATTCTAGATGGCAATATGTGTGAGCAAGCAACCAGATATTCTGGCTAGATATCTAGACAAGGTTTCAAAGCACCTTAGACGTTATGTTAACAGTAGAGCCGACAAGGTGACAGAGACCGTCATAGATTGACAGAGTCTATACTCCAGGTTCTTGCAAGAGAGCACTCTGATGAAGAAAGGACAAATATTTGTGTGTGGTTCCGCCGAAGGAATGTGCAACACCTTGGTTGCATATATGCCTGTTCATGTGTGTGTGTGCACATATAGATACTTATACCTGAATGCAAGAAGACAAACCACTATTAGACTATGAACATATATGCCTCTAAATACAAGCTTGCTTCAAATCTCAGAACTCTCATCCTGCCTTGGTCCCAAATCAATCGTGCAGCTGTCCCATTTAGATCTAAGGGCCGTCAGGAAACACTGAGTAAGAATCTAAGGCATTCACACTGATGCCAGGCTGTGCAATAGATGCCGCCTGACAAAGGCAAAAAGTTGCGGGACATTCCAGCACACATTTCTAAAGTGACGCTTGCAACCACGAACTGCATGGCTGCTGTAGGCATTCATTTACCACAGCCTATAGTTGGATCTTAGATGATCTTAGGCATCACTTCAGAATTGAGTGCCCAAGAAGACGCGCATGAACCACGTGAGATCTCTCAAGTGGTCGCTCCCACAATGCCACAATGTGCCTGTGCTGCCATAACCTGGACACGATGGGTAGAGCAGTTGGCAAAACATTGGGGAATCCTTGCATCAAGTACCGACGATATACAAACATGGATGGTCTTCGCATCCAATGCCTGCACTGGATGGTCTTCGCCCATAATGACCTGCGCCACGGTCACTCCCAACACTGCCATGCTGTAAGTGCTCCAAGTGCTGAACCTGCTGCACAACCTGGGCAGGGTGCTCCTGACGCGCATGCAAAGCATGGGCAAATGGTGAATTGGAAGAATTGCAAACTGTCCAAAAGAAATTGGCACCTGCAAATCGAATGGTACCAATTGTGAATTGAAAACTCCATGGCTCAAAGCCACAAGTGGAGAAGGGAAACCCGCGAGAACACATCGAGTGACGCCAGTCCCGCTAGTCCTCGCGTCTTGGGGCCAAAGGGATGTCCACCTCTCGGGTGGTGCCCTGTGTCGTCTGGCCCATCATGGGCACCTCCACAACTTTCTCAACAGTCTGCACCTTGAGCAACGACCAAATTCTCAAGCTCAGCACTGCAAAGCATCACTGTTTCATAACTTTTATGACCATAATGTATATGCATATCCTGCATATCATTATATTATAATATAGTCATAATCATCCTGCTAATGTCTACAAAATAGCTTCCAACCTGTACAAGTCAAGAGCATAAAGTTCAAATTTGACTTGAGAAATTGACCAGAGGGATCTCCACGATCTTCTCAATGGTCTGAACCTAAACGTCCCGCAAAGCACAAATGAAGGGAATGAAGCTGATCGTACACATCCTAAGTTTATTGTTATTCTGTTCGTGCTGAAAAAACTTTGAGAGTCTTGTATGGAATCTAGGTGCAAGAGCTAAGTCTTCGAAATGCCCCCCACAGGGCAGAAACCGCTGCCCAATTTGTGTTGTGCAAATCCTAAGCATGCAATGCAAAGGGAGATGACATGAGGCGCACACCTGTGGCACTTCAACCTGCTTCACCACAGGCACATCCACAATCTTCTGAAGTGTCTCGATCACGGTCACCTGATTGTACAAAGATCATCAAAGATCTATGGCTGAAAGGACAAGTGCACGGTCCAAAGCCTTGTGATATGGCAGCAGATGATCAAAGAACTCGCTTGAGTCACTTGAGTATTGGCTAGCGAGTGACATTGGAGTGGACCTACTGGTCAAACAACGCGTGAAGGTGTATCAGACTTTACAGTAAGTTTTGACCCAAAGCCATGTACTAACAGGATCAACAGTGCATTAAGAACTTGGTCTTTGTGGCCTATCAACACTTATCCTGGTTTGGTATATGGACGGTGTTGCAGTCTAAGTGACTTCAACAGGCTTCTCCACAGGAATGTGGACTGGCACATGACGATGCTTTTGGATGGGAATGTGGACGTGATTGTCCTGACAAACGACTTGGGCACGAGAGACAGTCATGTTTTGCCTGCACTGTCACCAAACGCTGATCACCGCAGGATAACCTTCAGTCTGGTGTGGTTTTGTTGTCATGCCGCACAAGGCTGCGCCAGCGTCAGTTCCATATGCGTCCAAGCAACAATGTACTCAATCTGTGGCACTTCAACTGTCCTTTGCACCTTGAGAAGCATCTGCTTGTTCTGGTGAGAAACTTGAAAAAAGCTGCCATGGCCCCGGGCCCCGGCAAGAACTGATAACTATTCACAACTAATTGATAACCAGAGAATGCAGCGAAAAAGTAAGGAATCAAATCGAACTATGAGATGGTCAAAATTCAGAGTCTGCTTAGGCTGACAGCTTTTTTGGAGGATTTTCCAGTTGATCCAGCCGAAAGCTCTTCTGCTGTCCCAGACGCAGTGTTCACCATGGGCACCTGCACTTGCTTCGCCACTGGGATTGGCACGACCTTGTCCACATACCTCGAAGCCGCAAGGCCAATACCATCGAAGAATCGAACAACAGTGTGCTGAGAAACGCTGCATGCTGAGAAATGCCAGGAGGCTCGATCTGGGGGATTTCCACGGTCTTCTGGACGGTTTGGACGTGCGGCACCTGCACCTGCTTCTGGACAGGCACCTGGACAACCTGGTCCTCGTACTGGATCTGCGGCACTTCCACCTGCCTGAATTTGGGCGAGTGTCTCTAAAGACTGAAGCACGTGAAACATGTTTCCGCACCTCGTCCTTGCTAAACAGCAATTGTACATGTCAAATATTGATGGGGACTGACCGCGATACAGAAAATGATCGGGTTGTTGGGCGTCAATCTGAAGCTGTTGGCAATGCCATGTTGCATGTACCGGTACTGCTGCGCTGCATGCAACTGCTACTGTGATCTATTGGGGACTGCTTGGGAAGCAACTTGATACGATTGGAACGCAAGAGAAGAAGTATATTTATAGATCATTTTAAATCCAGGGCAGATGGCTGAGGAGGTGTCGGTCATGATGGGAGATTGGAGATTGCTTCCATTGGAGCCTGGAAATAGTAAGGGTTGCCAAAAGCCTATCTCGAAAGAAACTGAGAAAAAGGAAGCGCAGTATCAGATTGATTGATAGAGGTGGGCACCCCCAAAGTATGAAGAAAATGTTGCATATGCAGGAAAAGGTCTCAAAACAACAAGTACTCGGAGTATGCATATGGCAGGTTGTCTAAGACCATTGTGCAGTTCAAAGATGAACTGTCATATACTTCCGGAACTTTTCTCAAAACACATGGCACTGAGGAGTCCAGGGCTGAATCTTTAGATTGCAAATAATAATACATAATGTTTTTTCCATGTGTGTTCCACGGTAAAAAAAAACTCTTTCAAATCCTTCAATGGCACATCCTTGCTATGACTTCTGAAAAACATCATGTGAATCATGTGGATAACATCAGATCATGCTAAGCTTTGATGCGTTGTGAAGCCCTGCCTCTGAACAGTCTGGACCATAGGCACGTGGACCTGTTTCTCGACGGGCACGTGCACAACCTGATCTTCGTACTGGACTTGAGGCACTTCGACAGGCCTCTGCACCTTCTGCACCATTGGCACGTGCACCTGCTTCTCCACAGGAACGTGCACAACCTGGTCTTCGTACTGCACTTGTGGCACCTCAACCGTCTTCTGCACCGTCTGGATCATAGGAACGTGCACTGGTTTCTCCACAGGAACATGCACGACTTGGTCTTCATACTGCACTTGTGGGACTTCAACGGTCTTCTGCACAGTCTGCACCATGGGAACATGCACTTGCTTTGCCACTGGAACCTGCACAATTTGGTCCTCGTACTGAATCTGAGGAACTTCAACTGGCTTTTGGATCTTCTGGATCATTGGCACATGCACCTGTTTGGTAACAGGAACCTGCACCACCTGATCCTCGTACTGAACCTGAGGGACTTCAACCGTCTTCTGCACCTTTTGCACCATGGGTACGTGGACCTGCTTGGTCACTGGCACTTGGACAATCTGGTCCTCATACTGGATCTGTGGCACCTTGACAGTCTTCTGAACCTTCTGAACCACTGGAACCTGAACGTGCTTCTGCACAGGTACTTGGACAATCTGGTCCTCATACTGGATCTGAGGAACCTCCACAGTCTTCTGGACTGTCTGCACATGAGGCACGTGCACCTAAGCTATCATTCAGAGACGTGACAACTTCGAAGCATCAATGATATGGATTTCAGGTTTTTTTGAGAGGTCCGAAATTTCAAACCTCCACATCCAAACCCAAAGAGTTACCCGCAACTGCAGATCACTGATCATGCTGCTGAACCAAATACTTTCGTACACTTTCCATTTTAATAGCTGGTGATTACAATCCAGGCACGTGCTTGGCCACAGGGATCTCGATGTGATGGTCCACGTATTCCACTTGAGGGACCTTTGACAGTCTTTTGGCTTGGCAGGTGTCCACAGAATCCTAGAACAATAAAGGACATTAGAATTCGATAGGAACGATCACTCGAAAGCCCTGAAGCCGCGATCTCCAGAGTGCTGCGCACTGCTGCACACCTGGCCTCAATATGCTTCTGCTGCTTCACTGGCACTGGAACTTGCCTCAAGGTGACTCTGCTGTAGCAATTAAAAGGCTGTTTGAACAGAGCTGGTTTCATGCTCTCAACACAAGTTCAACACAAGCCTGTGCTTTTGAACCGGCACGTCCACGACTTCGTCAATGTACTGAATCTGGGGCACATGTACCTATTCAAAATTGCAGCTCAGCTGCGTCAGGCAGTCCAGATGAGACTGAGGACAAATGCCATGACGGATGCTGAAAGTTGGTTGAATGAAGAACTATGAAGAACTATGAGGACCTCTCTTCTGAGTCTCATGCAAGATCATGCAAGCAAAAGCCGCTGATTCATCTAATTCAGAGATGCCTGCTTCTCGACCACCTTCTGGACAGGAACATGCTGCACCATAACCTGCAAAGTGAAAAGGCCTAGAAACGCCTCCACGAACCCAAAGACAACGAAGTGCAAGTAAGTGAGCAAGAGTCCAAGAACCGGAATGCAGCGCCACTCGGCCCTGCCTTTGGCACATGTTGAACCTGCTCCTGGATGACAGGCTTCTTGCGCTGCACCACCTTGTGAACCTTGCAATTCCGAAGATGCTGCCATGTTTACAGCAGTTGCAGTAGAAATAGTTGCTCAAGCCAATTCATCTTATGTACTTCGAAACAAAGTGAAATGGTCTGTAGCAATCTGTCCAGCTTTGTCCCTATTTCGGGTCGGACACTGCTTTCCCATCCGAGTGGCGACAGTTGGCTTGACAATCTCAATGGTTTCCACTTGGTTCTGGACCACTGTGTCGACAGTGGTGTTCAAGACCTTCGATGACAGCAGGCAAACCAACCCCCTCGCTTCAAAAGTCAGACTCACGACATCCCACGGAACAAACTCTTGCTTCAAAAGACAGGCCAGGAAATCTCACAGAAACATAACTCTTGCTTCCTCAAGCATTCTTGTTGTACAAAAAATGAAGCGAGCGTTGTATAATGATATGCTTCACTTCCGTGTATCTTTCCACCACGTCAGCCCTTCATTCTCCAGCCTTAGGTACCTTGATTGTCCTCTCCTCAATTTGAATCTTGGGGACCTACACAGCAACAACTCATAGACTGTTCCAATCTCCAAGCAAAAAAACTGGAAAAGCACAAACCTCTCAGGTTCCACCAGAGTTCTGTTCCCAAGGCATGTCGACTAGTGGTCTTTCCAAAACCAGTCACAAAAGGACGTTCTGATGAAGGTTGCACGTGCAAAATATTGACAAGTAAAGGGAGCACAGCACGAAAACCGTTGCGAATGCAGCAAAAGCCTCAATGGTCTTCTCGATCACAACAGGGCGGGGCACTTCAACTGTCAGCTCAACAGGATTGTGCTCCACTCGCTCCACTTTGTTTACCTTAGCAGCAAGATCCCGCAAGCAGGTCATGTAACGGAAACAGCAAGGACAACAAGGACATGAGGATCGGTTTGTGAACCTGTTGGACTGTAAGTCTGAAATCCACTGTAGGCTGAGGTTGCAATTTAAAAGAAAAAAAAAACGTTCTATTTTGGTCCAAGCACCACAGGCACGTGGACCACTTGCTCAACATGCTGCTCCACAGGCACATCGACGATTTCCTAGAGATCATTGTTGCGCAATTCGAACATATACTTTTATGCAGGCTGGGATGAACATTGTGTATGCAGAGTCTCATTGAAAAGTCTCAAGAAAGCCACGTACAGCCTCGACGTGGAAGTGATGCTGGCGTTCGTGCTGCATCACTTTTGGCACGTGCACAACTTCCTCCTGGTCAAGGGAATGTTGCTTTGGTCAACCTTTGGAGGCCTGGAGGCTCCATGCAAAGCATGTTAGAAACAAAATTCTTGCAGGCTCCCTGCGTGTTCATCAATTTGAAATGCTGCACATGATCCTAAAGGATATGGAAGAGTGAAAGACGAATAAGCTGAAAAAGCATGAAAAAGTATTGAAGAGTGAAGTTCAATGAACCTACGTGGAACCTACCCAGTAGCTGACCCTTTTTTCTTGAAGGGTTCAGATACTTCAGGCCGCGCTTCTGATTTTGCTTCGGCCCTACATGATGCTCCTGGGTCATTGGCACGTGCACCTCCACCACCTGCTCGACATGCTGGTGGGAGATGCGTTCCTGCTGAATCACCTTGGGCACGTGCACCACCTGCTCCTGCATCAATCGGATCGGGCCATGTCGGATCATGTCGGACCAGGACAAGGACCCGAACGAGATCAAGAACGAGATCAAGGCCAACTTCAGCAAGGAGAGCAGGGACCGGCAGACCGGACGAGATTTCGACATCTCAACACAAGAGCGAAATGGAAAACGGCAGCCCCGTCATGCTGGGTCCTGCATCATAGGAACAGGAACTTCCACGGTCTGTTCCACTTGCTGGTGCTGGACTCGCTGCTGAGTGATCACCTTTGGCACGTGGACAACCTCTTCCTGTCGCCGGAAATTCAGAGCAGAATCACAGAAGGATATTTCCCAAGTCCCAAAAGGATTCAAAGACTCGGCTCCCCAGTTGCTATCTGCCAATCCCCTTCTGAGTCTTACCGGAAAAAGGATCAAGACCTCACTTTGATCAACCATTCCCTCCCCTCCTGCTGCATGGGAACTGGGACCTCCACAGTCTGCTCAACCTGCTGGTGGAACTGTCCTTGGGCGGAAAGAAAGACTGTCAGGAAAAATCGGTGGTGGAAGGCGTTATGAGTACTGTAGTGGGTCAAACTGTGTCAGCCTAAGGTCGATACATGCTGAATAAAAAACATACAGAGCTAAGGCCGGCATGTCCAATTTTCGAACCCAACTCAGGACTGCAAGACTTGAAGATGCAGCGACTACCCCTCTTCTTCAAGTGGCATACACGTGTCAATTAAACATTTCAAACTAGCAGCTGGCATTGTGTTTGTTTCTTGGTTTTCTTGTGCCCTCCGGAATCTTGTGGAGCCCTGTTTTATATGCGGCATCAATTTACACGCCTGGTCATGCTCTCCCACATTGGAGCGGGTCCAGCACTCCAAAAAGGTCTGGACAACAAAACCAAAACATCATTTTCTGTGGTGAGTGGTCTGATCGACGACTCTGTCCAGTCCATTCCTGGAACCTCCAGAACCTCCGACGCGCTCACAGCGGCTCGTTTTCTTGCTTGGAACCAAAATTTTGTTTTGTGCCTTCTTTTACATTCTTTGGACATGGCAATACTCAATTATCCCGGCAAGAGACTCCAAACAGTGTGAGGGAATGGGAGGATAATGTATGATAATGCGGATGATGACGATGATGATGGTGATGATGATGATGATGATGATGACGATGACGATGACGATGACGATGATGATGATCATCATGATGATCATGATGATGATGATGGTGAGGACGAGGATGAAGAGGAAACTGTTGCGGAGGATGATGTTGAGGATGGAAATGTTGCGGAAGATGAGGTGGAGGAGGATGATGTTGCGGAAGAGGAGGTGGAGGATGATGATGTGGAGGGTGATGATGTTGAGGAGGCTGAGGACGAGGATGATAATGCGGAAGATGAATTTGAGAATGAAAAAGCGGAGCAAAGGCGGAAAGGAACTAAAAGCATCAGTAGCTGCAAGCTAGCAGGACCAGAGCGATCCTAGTAGTGAAAAGAAGAGATACCAGGTAAGATTCTGCAAGCTCACAGGTTCACTGTAGAAGCTGCTGTGCAAGATCCCTGTGTGAGGTTATCTGCACAAGGTGTCTATAGGATATCTCCACAAAAGATCTGCGTAAGGGATCTCAAAGAATAAGATCTCTGTTCAAGCTATCTATCAATGATCTCCAAGCAAGACCCCTGCCCTCTTCACCAGGTCTCTGTACAAGATCTCCATAATAGATCTCATGCCAAGATCTCTGTACAAGATTTCAAAAACAGCTATGTCTGTAAGAGACCTCGCAAGATCTCTGTACAGGGTGTCTTGGCAAGACCTCCTGGACAAGATCTCTAAAAGAGATGGAGGATGATGATGTAGAGAAGCAGGAAGATGATGATGCTGAGGATATGGATGATAATGGTGGTGATGATGATGATGATGGTGATCATGATGATGAAGATGATGATGATGGTGATGCTGGAATGGTGATGATGTTGAGGATAAATGATGATGATGATGAAGATGATGAGGATGTTGAACATGATGAGGATGATGAGGATGATGGGGATGATGAGGACAATAATGCGGAAGATGAAGTGGAGGATGATAAGCTGGAGGATGATGGTGTAGAGGAGGGGGAAGAGGATGATGTTGAGAAGGATAATGTTGAGGAGTGTGATGACAAGGATGATAATGTTGCGGAAGATGAGGTGGAGGATCATGATGTTGCGGAAGATGAGGTGAAGGCTCATGATGTTGCAGAAGATGAGGTGGAGGATGATGATGTTGAGGATGATGATGTCAAGGGAGAGGAAGATGATTTTGATGTTGAAAAGGAGGATGATGATGATGTTGAGTGAGGAAGACCGATCCAAAGACACGGACCCACACTTTGTGCGAGCCTGCGCAGTCGAAAGGCACTTCAACGTGTCACAAGAGCCACTTGATACGGAAAATTACAGGAAAAATGCCGCGCCCCAGAATGAGCCCAGAACGCGGACACACATTTTGTGCGAGCGTGCGCAGTCGAAACGCATGTCAATATTTCACAAGAACCACTTATATACAGAAATTTACAGGAAAATGCCGCGCCCCAAAACCGCGGCGCAGACTTTGTGCGAGCCTGCGCAGTCGAAACGCATGTCAACATTTCACAAGAACCACTTATATACAGAAATTTACAGGAAAATGCCGCGCCCCAAAACCGCGGCGCAGACTTTGTGCGAGCCTGCGCAGTCGAAACGCATGTCAACATTTCACAAGAACCACTTATATACAGAAATTTACAGGAAAATGCCGCGCCCCAAAACCGCGGCGCAGACTTTGTGCGAGCGTGCGCAGTCGAAACGCATGTCAATATTTCACAAGAACCACTTATATACAGAAATTTACAGGAAAATGCCGCGCCCCAAAACCGCGGCGCAGACTTTGTGCGAGCCTGCGCAGTCGAAACGCATGTCAACATTTCACAAGAGCCACTTTATGCAGAAAATTGCAAGGAAAAGGCGCGAGACCAGAGTGAGCACCCTGATCAAGCACCGGCCTTTACACCTACCGTAAGAACGCTTCTGTGTGGACACACTATTTGGGGACTGAAAAAACTATCAATACTCTGCTTTCTCAAGGTAGTAAGCAATTGCAGAAGAGGCCGCATAAGCTTTAGTATCTTTCAAGCTGGAACAGAAGCTGCCATCACAAAGCCCTCCCATCATTCACCCAGAGACTTCATGCGAGCAAGTCGCGAGTTTGGGTCACAACTTTCGGAACGTGCACGACCTCCTCCTGTGTCATTGGGATTGGCACCTCCACGGTCTGTTCAACCTGCTGCTGCTGCATGCGAGTGTGCGTAATCACCTTGGGCACATGGACGACTTCCTCTTGTGTCATAGGAATTGGCACCTCCACAGTCTGTTCCACATGCTGCTGTTGAACTCGAGTCTGAGTCATGATCTTGGGCACGTGAACCACTTCCTCTTGGGTCATAGGCACAGGCACCTCGATTGTCTGCTCAACGTGCTGATGCTGCACTCGAGTCTGGGTAATGATCTTGGGCACCTGAACCTCTTCCTCTTGCATCATGGGAACTGGCACTTCCACGGTCTGCTCAACATGCTGGTGCTGGACACGAGTCTGGGTGATGATCTTTGGAACGTGAACGACCTCTTCCTCCATCATTGGCACAGGCACCTCCACAATTTGCTCGACATGCTCGTGCTGCACGCGCTGCTGCGTAATGATTTCTGGAACGTGGACGATCTCCTCCTCAATCTGTGGCACTGGCACTTCGACCAACTGCTCCACCTGCTGATGCTGGATACGCTGCTGGACAACCACCTGCAAAGGGCAATAACGAGAGAAGCGAATGGTCTTGGATGTCTTGGGACAGGGACAGTGTTTGCTTAATTTGCTTATGATTTGGTATGATTTGTTCAGAATTTGTTCATGTCCCGTTCATCATTCCTTTCGATTCTGAAATGGGATGCACGGGATGCGGCACAAACCTCTGGCCTTGGGCACGTGAACAACTTCCTCTTGCATCATTGGAACAGGAACCTCCACGGTCTGCTCAACGTGCTGATGGTGGTGGCCTTAGAGTCTTAGAGCAAAGGACTTAAGATATGTGGATATGTTTGGAAATCTGTTGATATCTGCGCATATATGGGATTGCAGTGGTATACCTGCTGGCACTAGGCTGTGTTCTGCTGAAAATGAATAAGAAAAAAGGAAGATAACTTTCAGAATCTTTCATTTCAGAACTGAGATCAGAAAGTAGCTGTTGCTCTTTGTAGTTCATGGAAACTGAGGTCAGGACGAGCCTGTGTCTGGGTCACTGGAATGTGCACAATCTCCTCCACTGCTTGTGGAATAGGAACATCAACCTCAGGTGACTGACGTGCTTCACAAGATCTTCACTGGTTTCACAAACAACTGGAGTCACAAATCTAATCAAGCAGGTGCAAAGATGTGCGAAGTCAGGACACTCAGAACAACTTTGAACTCTTGGAGGCCTTCTTGGATTTGTGGATCTAGTCTATTCTGCTGAAAAGCGTGGGAAATCGAACGGGTCCTTCCCATTGGTGCACTCTTCTGCTCTCACGCTTCATCAGATCAAAAAGTCTAGACCACAAAAGCATACAAAAGCCAGTTCAAGACTGTTGCAAGTTTTCACCCCGCGTCTGCAGCGCAACTTTCAACGTGACATTGAAAAAACATCCAACATATCCAAGAGGCAATCTGCTCAATCGAGCGATGTTGCACCCGCTTCTGCTCAATGACTTGAGGCACCTTGGGCACTGACAAGCGCAAAATGGACAGAAGCGTCAAGTCTTGCATCGAAAAAGCATGCGAAACTTCCGAAACCTACGTGAAAAGACCATGATAGCCTAATCATAGCAATGCATGATTCAGTGTCTTCATGTCTGCTACATTCGTTCCTGCGCAAACAGATTGCGTGTCAAGAGTCAGTAAAAACAACTGGCTAGTTTGCATTGATGTTGCTTCTGTTTGCGTGCCTGCACAACCTGTTCCACAATTTGCTCCACAGGCTGCTGCACCACTTGGGGAACCTGAACAAGGTCATTTCCGCTGCACACTATCTGCCGTAAACAAAAAGAAGAATACAGTTGACTTGATTCCTGGCCTCCACGACCTTCTGCACAATCTGGACCTGCACCCAAACGACGCATAGATGTCGACGCAATAGCACAATTAAGATATATTATTGCTCACTGAGACCAACACGGTGTCATGTCATTCCGAGAAAATACGTCGCTGAGTTGCTCCGCTTAATTTCCCTCAGCTCGCGCCTCAGGAACCTCTTGCTCTTCAATCACTTCTTGCATGGTCGGAATCTCCACGATCTAAGTCAAAGAGGCAAATCGGCAAATCGATTTTCGACTGCAACTCTAGAAATTCTTCTTCCGAAGATTCAAGTGACCTACCACTGGCACTTTTCAAAGACCGCAATTCTCTCAGTACTCGACCTGCTGCTTCACCTGACCAGCCACAACTTGCTCTTGGCGCTGCATGGTGACCTTTGCACACTTGTCATGAGTCATGTTTGCCACAGGTGTTTATCAAGCGTAAGTGCAGCTGCTAACAACACAGAATGTGAAATATGTCGAATATGTGTCGAATATGTGTTGAACGTTGCTCTCTTATGCATTCCATTCTGCTGTGACATAGCAAGTTGCAACAGCCTTGAGGCAAGGACATGTGGCTGTGCCTCCACCTCGGTGCCAACACCTGCGATGTATTGAGGCTGGCCCTGCTCGCGAGTCGCATGCATTTGCGCATTGTGCAGCCTTGGCTGAAGTCAATAGGATCATCAAGCTGCAAAGGAAAGATGATGATGAAAGAAGCATCTAATCTTTTTGCCATATATAGGGTTTTCCCTTCACTGCATATTTCCACCCTTCAGAACCCACCTAACACCGCCACATAAGAAACAATAAGGGCTGTGATCGGTATTTGTGTTGACGGTAGTTTGTGTTGGAGCCATGAGGAGCCCGCGTCATGGTAGCTTTGGCATGGTCCGCAAAGGCGTCAGCAGGTACCTTTACCTTCGCAGAACTCAGGGCCGTGTAATATTTTTTGACAATAATTGCTTGTTTCTCTACCCCAGTCGTAGGGTTAGGATATGCCGTGTGCATGTATGTGTATATATATATATATCGGTGCGAGCAGTTGCTCTATTCCCCAGCACACATGTGGCTGTGGGAACTGTTTACTGACAAAGCCAAGCACTTGAATGCATCGTTAGAAACTCCTACCGAGACTGCGACGTAGATATAAATGATTCCTTTGACAAGACCGAACTCCATGTTGCCCACCCAGCCTGTGTGACAGGCCCCATCACGGTCTCAGTGGGAAGCACCTTTGGCTGTGGAGGTTGCATCGTGGTGCCCATGCCCTGTGGATCGGTGGTGAAGGTGCCGGCAGGACCCTGTGCCAGGATAGGCTCAGCAGGAGCTGCGTACGTTGGCATTTCAGTGGTGGAACCCTCCGTTCCGATAGTCTCAGCCGGTGCCGTGCCAGCAGGAGCAGCGTACATAGGGGCGGCATAAGTACCTGCTGGCGCAGCGTAGGTCGGAGCTGCATACATCCCCTCGGTGGCGGCTGGAGCAGCATAGGTCGGAGCTGCATAAGTCCCCTCGGTGGCAGCTGGGGCAGCATAGGTTGGAGCCGCGTAGGTCCCTTCAGCTGGGGCAGCATAGGTCGGAGCTGCATAAGTCCCCTCAGTGGCAGCAGGGGCAGCATAGGTTGGAGCCGCGTAGGTCCCTTCGGTGGCAGCCGGGGCAGCATAGGTGGGAGCTGCATAAGTGCCCTCTGCAGCTGCAGGCGCAGCATAGGTGGGAGCTGCATAAGTTCCAGTAGGAGCAGCGTAGGTGGCTTCAGCACCATAGGTTGTCGCAGGGGCAGCATAGGTGGATGGCGCACCGTAGGCAGTCGCAGGGGCCGCATACATGGCGCCTGGTGGGGCACCATAGGCAGTGGGAGGTGCGCCGTAGACAGTGGCAGGGGCGCCCAAGCCACCGCCTGGCACAGCAATGGGCTCCATGATCGTACCAGGCCCATACATTGTTCCAGGAGCACTGCCGTAGTTGGTGGCCTTAGTTGGCCCCCAAAACAATTTGGAGATCTTTCTAATTGTTGTATGTAACAACAGCTCAATAAATGATAATTTTGAGACTAACGGAATTGAATTGCTCTCTGGGGTGCTGGCAAATGCGGCAGTGCCAGGTGCAGCACTGTAGACTGTTCCTGAATTGCAGTTTAGGGAAATCTATAGAGAAGCAAGCACAAGCAATTTTTGCATCAAGATAAGGTGGAGTTCTTGCTTTGGATCTTGCACAGATTTGCTCAGAATATTGGTCGAAGTCACATGATTTACCTGACCGCCCAGAAGTCTCACAAACCGTTGCAACATGGCCACATGGCTCCTGGAAGGGTGGCGGGCTGACCTGTTTGCCCTGCCTGACCCATTGCCGCAGCAAACCTTGGACTGCTCAAAAGGCCCAATTCAAATAGCAAGCAAAACAAAAAAATGTCAAATGACCGCACGCATTTTCTTCAGGTGAATACTCCTCTCGCGAAATCTGGCCATCCTGATTGCTGTCCTGAAATTCCGATTGTAGAAAGGTTCTGGTACTGAACTCTACAGCGACATGGCATAGTTGCGCAACGAGCACAGTTGGCATATCGGTCCATCATCCCGAACATGAACTCCTCTCGAGAGATCACACCATCCTGCAGATTACACAAAATGGTGCTTTCGACACTGGTATCGAACAAGAGAAAAAGAGAAAACAAGTGTGGTTTGCTCAGCCTGGTTTGCATCCATTTGCTCGAAGGAAGCCATAAAGGAAGAAACCTCAGAACAGCTTCCGATATGCCAAAATTTTGCCTCCACAATAGATTGACCAGTCTCGAACAGTCATTGGCCTTTGACAAACAGCAGAAAATGGCAGCACCAGCACCATACAACATCCAAGACCAAAAATCAAGATCCTAGTGGACTGCGCAACCGTTGTTAGTTCTTTCTGGTCGAAGTGCCGTCTAATTTGAAATGCGGGTTTTCCATAGTGAAACGCACTCTCCAAAATAGCCTATCACATGGCTTTGCTCCTTACCGGATCTTGCCGGAATTTCTCTCGACTAGTAACAAAACAATGGAGAAGGAAAACAAGGTCGGAAGTAGATGCTCAAATGCTAAATCCCAGTAGGCCAATCAAGAAAAGGATCAAATTGGTGTTTCAGTAGCAGGGTTCAGTGAGCTAGACCAGTAAACCATGTTTGCTCTGCATCTGCATCCGTAGTTTGTTTGGTTGCTCGGCTGTATGTATTCATGTCGGGGTTGTTTTTTTGGCATGCGGCTGATACGGCGCCCTTGGAAGGGTTGCCAATTTTGAGATGTGCCATTTACGATCGCTTGGAAGGGTTGCAAATTTCAAAAATGAGGCTTGCGGAAATGGGGGTATAGGATTTGATTTTTTTGAGTTTTTACCATGCTGCACATGCTGTCGGATGATCATCAGGGGGGTGGGGGTGGGGGGTGGGGGGGGGTGTATTAATGTTCTTGACGAGCACTTCCT